TCCGTACATCGTACGACATCTGTTTTGGAAATTTATTTCTGGAATTGGGAGGCGGGATTAGTTTCATTGAAAAACTCCACAATTTTATATCAACATTTATTGTAATAAGGAAAATTAACTTTATTGTACAGGCATCTATCACCTTTCCAAATACAGGTGTTTCTCATTTGTTTTCTCTTCTTGTTGGTAATTTGAACCTGGAAATGATATCTTCTTTGACAGTTTTTTGTACTTTGTGATAATTTTAAAACAGTTTGACTTCAGCTTTAAGAGTTATTTTTATCAAATGTATGTTTGTTCATTCGTGCATGAATTTACTCAAATATTAGTGAATATAACATGTCCTTTGCAAAAAATCTTTCTTGAGCGAAATTTGTTTTTCCATTGCTGTGGTTCTTACGCAGTGATGATTTGGAAGTCCAGAGCTGTGTCATGTTCCGAAGTCCTGGTGCAGAAAAACCCAGAAGTTTTCCAGAGACATCTTATTTCGTGTAGTACACTCCCGATCATAGTGCCTTATTTCACTACCATTATATTTTCTATTAATATTCTAACTTTGTTATTATCTTCAAGGTTCCACTAAACATATTTCAACATTGAATAAACTAATACCCTATAATTATTTACAGTTTAACTAAGATATTGAAGTTTCGCGATGATGTCCCAGAAGTGCATCCCTACGATGTAACTTGATTATCGTGTCCGCTACACGCTCTAAGCTATCATGAATATGACATGCATTTGCTACATCTTTCTACGAAATCTATCTTTCTGACAGGCGTCGACTACGGAAGCTAACATGCGTTCCTTTCGAAATCGAATACATATCGTTCTGCTCTTGAAATGAACATTAAATCACTATTTGATTTCTTGTGTTCTGTCTGTCCTATCTAAATTTCTTATTGGGGTTTACAGTTCTTGATAGTTATTTTCCCTTTTTTTTCATACTCGCCACTCACCTGTTACATGATCGGCTGCCACGTTTTTAGTGAAGACACCATTTTTAGAGAATAGTAAAATTTTATTTCCTAATGTACTGATTGTTCTTCAATCAAATCACCTTTAACCGATAGTTCTAATCTCGAATGTCAGAAAAATGTTCCTCGATAATTTACGAGTCTAGAAATTTCAATGTCAGTAATAACGTTCACGTTTGACCATGGTAAATTGTCTACCATGTTGTCCCTTTACAAATTGTTGGAGGGGTTTCGTTCACAGCTTATAAATATAAAAATATCTACGGGATGTGCTATATATCTCAATATTTCGAAACGTGGATGCTTAGTTATCACTGTCGCATCCCTATCGTGGAGTCGACCTCGGCAACTTGGCGGAGATTGCTCGCCGCGATGTGGTGCGACAACGCGCCAGAGCGTTAGGTCAATACAGAGACCACCGCCTCGCAGCCACTCGCGCTCCCACGCCTCGCGGCCTATCCTCCCTATCGCGTCGCCCGCCCTCCCGATCTCCGCACACCCACGCCACGGAGGCGCGGCGTCAGGCTCCCCGCCGCCTACAGCAGCCCGCCCCCCTGCCCCGCCCGCGCGGAGGTTAGATAAGCCCCCGCGCCGGGGCGATAGCGCCACCGGAAGTGCGGCATCAGGGTTGCACCTCCCCGGGCGTAGCGGCCGGGGCGGGGCGGCGGTGCGCCGGCCCAGCCTAAGCGGCGCGACGCCCTATCAAGCCGGAAGCGGCCCCACCGCCCCGCTGCGCCGCGCCCGCGCGTCGCGCTGGCTTGCCGTCGCCCTTCGAAAGTGGGCGTGGCCAGGCCGAGTGGAACGCAGTGCAGTATGACACGGATGGCCTACGCGGGGATGCTTTCGAGCGGCGCGCTCCCAGGGAGTTGGCGAAGAAATGGCGCGGCAGTAGAGAGCTGCTGCAGGCTGACTGCTGGTGCAAATCGGCGTTTTGTACTTCTGTTCCCGCAGTCTCCTCTTACTCTCCCGTAACTCTTGTACCTTGGCACTGCGTTATCTGTGCGGTGGTTCTCATTTACCACCAATTCCCAAATTTTCTATGATTGCGTGTTGCAACTTACATCTTACGCAATTTAATTTATAATTTTGTATCATAAAAGCTCTGAAAGTTTTCTTCACAGTTCGTCTCGAGCTACACTAACAACCTTTCATGTTTAGCACAATTGGTCAAAGTTATCTCAGTTTAGAATCCATAAGTAGCATGTCAAATGATTGTATAACGAGACGTCCTCAGGTTTATAGTATTGTCAACTCTCCGTGACATTATAATCTGTAAACATAAACTAGGTAACGAAACCACAGAAAAATGATTCCCAAAAAGTAACAAGCACATTCCTTAAGCATAACGAATGAAATAAACTCGAACATCACTGCAATAAATAAACCTTTTTAACAATACAATTACATAGTGAAGTATATATGTACGGTATAACAGTTATTTACACACAAAAATTTCAAAACTGTTGCTGTTCCACAAGGCACCGAGAAATAATAAATATTTAATAATAGGCTGCGTCTTCCTTGGAGCGTTACTCCATATGATGTGACCTGTGCCGTAAGCAGTGACGCACTGAGTATAAAAATTCAGTCTGGACTCGCAGTATGAGAATTGGCGGGGCAACACAACTATAAATAGTAAATAATATTATTTAACATTACATATTTAATAGTATTTAATAATATTAATATTAACTTATAAATATTTGCATTTTTTATTCAAAATTAAAACCGTTTCTTTGGTTTTGTACTGTGCGCGTGTTGGAAATTAGGAATATTTGTAAAATGAAAAGAAAAAAACTACTATTCTTTATTTTCTACAACACCTGCAACAAACAAGTTTCTCGTCGTACTGTGATATATCAGCGAATCGGTAATAATCATTATATTTACCTTTACTGATCTGAAATATTACGGATCTTCACGCCCAATGTGAATCCCATTTATATTTAACAGGGATGCGATTCCTGTGTTTGAAAATGAATTTCCTTTCTAGGAACAGCTGTTAATTCAATGCTGTATTGAGAGTTTGATATTCCATTATGGATTTGTGCATTCCGAAGCAACTCGTATTTCCCGAAGAATGACCCATGGAGCATAAGTGTGCACTTTCTGCGACGTAATGCCCAGATAACATCGAGTTCTGTATTTTTTTCTCGTTAACAGATCCCCGATATAGTTTGGAAAATGTTACTCTCTTCACTTTGTATGAGAATCGTCGTTACAAAATAGGCACCTACTGTTCGAATGTATGTCTTATTCCAATAGACAAAACCTCTTACACTCAATTACTGAAATGGCTTTGAAAAGAGATTTATTGAAAGTGTTTCGTAGAAAATATTTCAAAAATGAAATATATAACTAACGGGTATAAAGCCGTGTCTCGATATTTAACTGAAAATTATGAATGTGAATATTACCTTTTTGCACATCTTTTGTTCTATTTGGCCTGTGTGCGCGGCCTGAATGTGCTTGTTCTCTTGTTAGCCGCTCTGCCAATATTGGCCGGATGTTGCGAAGCTGCTTGCTGAATTTAGTAACGTGCCCTTTTCAGCTCTCCAGGCCGGAAATAATGTAGGACTTCGCTTAAAGTTCGAGAAGCTGAACATGAGTTCTTTCTTTCAACAGTAAATGACGAGATACTGAACAACTTTTGGTGAGACTTAAACAGGATCTATGGATTATCAATTCTTTCAAAACTCTTTGTTCTAAGGATCATGATATACTCTGGCTTATCTTGACATGGGTATCATCTTAAAGTACTGTAGTCGAGAGAGAAATCGATTCATGAACGTAATTTATGTGTAAGGGAGTCCCTCGAAAAGGGCAGAGTAAGTCGCGACCCTATGTTTGAACAAAGCGTACACAGGCTATCCAGCTTGGAATGAAATTCAACGTCCTTTAGGAAACCCACAAACATTGTCAGGGCAGGATCACATGCACCAGTTTTAGACAAGAATAAATAAAATGGACGTTGGAAATATGCATTTGCAAACCGAACTATTAGAGACGGAACAGTTTGCCTGCAACAAGGTTTGAACCCTTTTCCTAAAATTGAACAAATGTTAAAATAAATTAGCTTTTTAGTAATCTATTATTATTTATGAGCAATGTTGTTGTGAAATAGAGGGAAACGAACGAAGGAGAAAGACATTGTGGTTTAGTGTGACTTAGTCAGCCAGACTACTACGAAAATCGCATACAATGCGTAAATGCAAGAAATTTTGCAACATTTTTTAAATGTAATTTTATGTACACAATATACACTAGTACAAAAAACGGACCATTTTAAAATTTCGAAAGAAATAGGCAGAATCTGAATATTTATTACTTCCACAATTTTGATCCAAAATATACGATTTTTTTCTTCCTGGAACATGGATGTCTCCTCATTGGAACTATTTACGAGGAAATAAATTTCTTTAAATATCTTATTTTTTTCGTACATGAACACTTTCCTCGCAAACCTTAACCTTTGTCATTATTTCCTTCAGTAATTTTGTTTCCTCCGCCACCTAATTAAATACCTTGCTTTTATCCCTGCCGTATAACCACGCATTACATGAATTTCGTGTCGGGTTTTTTCTCCTTTTAGAAAAATCCATCTGTTTCTTTTCTCCCTTCTCTTGGCATCTCTGCGGCATTCATCACCTTTCCCCTGCCCGCCGTTCCCGTCGCCGCCGCCGCCGCCTCCTGCCTTCCGCTGCAGGATGTGCGCTACATGCTTATGGGTGCCTCTTCCGTTGCCGCGCCGTGTCGGAAGCTTTCCTTTTATGGCTCTGTTCCCGGCATTGATTACATAATGCCTTCCAGATAATGAATTCGTCGAAGGTGCATAAAGGTTGGTTCCACAGCTGCTGCCTGAGCCACCGGCACCGTCGTAGTCGTCGCCATCGTTCCGTGGTTCGGGAGAGGGGGGACTAATCAGGAAGCCGATGAATGGCCAAATGTTTGGGTCGACGCAAATGCGAAGAAATTCGCGTCTTCTCACATACGTACTTACCCTCCCTCTTTCTCCTGTTACAGTACGCCAACATCCGTATTGGACCCGTCGTCAAGAAGGATGTGATGAAGGCTTCCACCATGCTGGAACACGAGAGCCAGTAAGTATTGAGAGCTATGTTCAGTAAAGAAGGATGTGATGAAGGCTTCCACCATGTTGGAACACGAGAGCCAGTAAATATTGAGAGATATGTTCAGTAAACAAGACACGGTTGACGTATTTCCTTCGTCTAACATATATTCATTGGCACGCCTCACAATTATTTTTACTTTCCACGCAATGTCTGTCATGTAGGCGAGAACTTTCAAAATGTCTGCGTTCAAGAAATCGTGATATTTTTCTCGCGTTTCAGAGTATTTTAAAGGAAGAACAATGCTCTTAGATTCTGCGTTGTTTTTTATGATAATTAATTTGCAAATACTTTTTTGTAGAGAGAGCTCTGACCGCTGAGGTGCATTAAAGCATGGAATGAAAAGTACAGAAGAGGTGAAAATTGTATCAATAACGTACTGTTTTTGCATTGTTTCGAATTCACCAGTATTCTTTAAAACAAAGAAAGCTTCATTAACCCTTGTGGTGAGATCTGTAATTGATATAAGGGTCAAAAACCCTTACACACACATTGTTTACATTTTACTGTTATTTAGATAGTTCTGTTAAAAACCTGTCTATGGACAGTCTGGCAATTCACGTATTGTTGTCTGTCTTCAACACATTCTGGATGGGACTTCTGTTTCTTTGGATGCGTACGAGTATTACTCGAGCACAATAACGTATGTGTGAAATGAGATCCGTAATTCTTGAGAAATAACGATTCGATGTCCCTTGGTGACTTTAAGGTATGTTAAGCGTTTCAGGTCTCTCGGAAAACAAGTACCTGTAAGACTGGAAAGTGGCATTTGAGATAAGAAGTTGCTTGCTTCGTGTTAGTACCCAGCTTATTAAGTACAAATATTTCTGACAATGAGTTTTATTGGAATATTTACGATTCAATCTCCATTGATATTGGATTCATTACACTATTCGCTTCACTTTCTCGTTCTTTATTTTCAATCTCCATCGTGCTCCTGTTAATCGGATTATTTCATTAAATACGAGCGAAGAGATAACTAGATTGCGGAACGTCGCTCCCTCGCCAATACATAGGGTGATTTCGTGGGTTGGAGGGAGATGGAGAGAGTGGCGCGCTTCTGCCGCAGATACGCCACCATCCTGGCGTTCGACGTGAAGGTGGAGCGCGACGCCCAGGAGCTGGCGGACACACTGGGCGTCAAGATCTTCCAGGCGGACATCATCTACCACCTGTTCGACAAGTTCATGGCGTACCGCGAGGAGCTCAAGCAGCGGAAGCGGGACGAGTTCAAGCACATCGCCGTCTTCCCCTGCAAGCTCAAAGTGCTCCCGCAGGTAAAGTCCTCTTCCTCTCTCCCTTTCTCTTCTCCCTCCCTCTCCCTCTCCCTCTCCCTCCCTCTCTCCTCCCTCTCCTCCCTCCCTTCCTCTCTCTCCCTCTCTCTCCCCCTCCCTCCCCTCTCCCCTCCCTCCTCCTTCTCCCTCCCTTTCCCTCCCCTCTCCCCTCTCTCTCCCTCCCTTTCCCTCCCTTCCCTCTCTCTCCTTCCTCTTCCCCCTCTTCTCCCCCTCCCTCCCTCCCTCCCCCTCTCCCCCTCTCCCCCTCCCTCCCTCCCTCCCCTCCCTCTCTTCCCTCCCCCCTTCCCTCCCCTCCCTCCCCCTCTCTCCCTCCCTCCCTCCCTCCCCTCTCTCCCTCCCATCCCCTCCCCCTATACGTCTTCCCCCCTCCCCTCTCTCCCTCCCTCCCTCCCTCCCTCCCCCTCTCTCCCTCCCTCCCCCTCTCTCCCCTCCCCTCCCTTCCCCTCCTCTCCATCCCCCCTCCCCCCTCGCTCTCTCCCTCCCTCCTACACCTCCTACCCTCCCTCCCTTCCCCCTCTGCTCCTCCCCCTCCCTCCCTCCCTCCCTCCCTCTCTCCTCCCTCTGCTTCCCTCCTCTCTCCCTCTCCTTTCTCTCTCTTCCCTCTCTTCTTGCTCTCTCTCTTTCCTCTCTCTCCCTCTTCTCTCCCTCTCTCTCTCTTTCCCTCTCTCTCTCCCTCTCGCCTCTCTCTTTCTCTCGTCTCCCTCTCTCTTCCTCTCTCCCTCTCTCTTTTTCTCCCTCTCCCTCTCTCTGTTATCTCATCTCTTTCGCATATGCACGCACTCACAAATTCCTTACTCTGCGCATATTTCCTGGTTTTTTGGCTCTCTTTCTCTGTGCCATTCTTTCTCTTCGCATATTCTTGCGTATTCAGCAAATAGTTTGTGGATAAACACGTTTTCACGTACATTATTCATGCCATAATTTTTATTCATTTTTTGAGATCCTGCAATCATTTCTATAAAACGAAGTTACGTTTTATGTATCCTGTGCATATGCTGCGGAGTTCACTTAGTTTTTCAGACATCTCCATGAACTGAACCCTTTGGTACCGTTTCAGAATAAATTCACATAACACGTATCAAAATGTCAGATGTTATGTAAAGTGTTACAGCAAATCCTCGTTAGCATGATCTCGCTTGAGAGTAATTTCTACGAATCATAAACCAAGTTTTGAGACCCGGCAAGGAAACGTAGTTTACGAATAAATATATAAACGAATAACATGATTTTTGATCACACGAACCCGAAAATTTCGACCCCCTGGAGTAAGTGTTAATGAGGATTTACTGTATTTAGAATGCTTGAATGGAAATTACTAATCGGTAGGATTACTCAATATGTTACTTCGGAAACGTCTCCTATCTTTGCTGAGTTGCAGACGGAAATAAGGCATTTTCGAAATAATCTTGTAAAACTATAACGATGGAAACGGGTGGATATTTTTGATACTTTTTTTATTCACGTTGTTACTGCTATTTTTACATAGCACATAAAAGGGCTAGTTTCAAACTTCAGTTTTCATGATTTCGTGCTTTAATTCCAGTTTTTGTGATCAGCAATCTCGTTTTCATAATTTTGCTTCAGAGGCCAAAACTCATTTGTCCAATTTTGATTTGAGTTCGACGATTCATTATTAGTTTCAATGATTGAATTAGTAAGTTCACATTTACTCATATAGTTTTGCAGTAAACCTTGTCAGGATCCTGTAATTAATTGGCATTTACTATTTGGATATTGTTGAGTTAATACAATGCATGGACATTTTTGGTGGGTGGTTTAGAAAAATTCTAACTTTGAAACAACCTTTTTTTGAGATCGATCTATGTACAGTCGATTAAATGTGTTCCTATGTGTGTTTCAGTTCATCTTCAATTCGCGTGACCCCATCGTTATGGGCGTGATGGTAGAGGCGGGCATCGTGCGTGAAGGCACGCCCATTTGCGTGCCCAGCCGCGAGGTGAGTCGATTTTTTTTTTTTACTTGGTTCAACTTTGCCGTTTCGCAGTGAGTACTGTTCCTTTTAATCACAATAGCGTAGAATAATATTTTCATCCTTGAAGTCGCCATATTAAAATAAAATTCGAATTCGTTGCCTAAATGCTAATTTGAATGAGTTTTCCGTTAAGTATTTAGTACAGCAGAAGATAAGTTTTGTCAATTTTCCTGTTGAAGTCGCACATTAATTTTCTCTAGATACATGGTTCTCTAAACAAAAAAGTGCTATTACTAAATAATCCACCATTAAATAATCAGTGCTGTGTTTATAAAGCAAAATATCTTCAATTAATATTTAGGTTACCTACTTTAATATCACTTTTTCCGCATGAAATACCAGTATAAACTAGAATGTCAACTTTATGTAAAAGTTTATTTATGTGCATTGCAAATAAATCTGAATATTGCATCTGCCGACTCTGAAATCAATTTCACATTCCATACGTGTAGGTTGTGCGTTTCGTATTACCCCTCGCTACTCTGACAACGCTTGCGTCGGGTGGCGGAATAAGCGGGCGAGCGAGAAGGCCATGCCACGCCACGCCACGCCACGCCACGCGCCAAGAGGTGCCGTGAAATACGCTCGCGTCGCGACGCGACGGGCCGGCCGAACGCGAGGGGCGGGGCGTCGCTTCGCGGCGGCGGCTGGCGGCGTTATCGTTTCCCACGCACTTCCTGCCGCCCGCCTCGGCGGCCTTGGCTGGGCCGCCGCCGCCGCCGGCGCGGCTTGCTGCCCAGGTGCGCCGCTCCGCGCCCGCGACGCCCACAGCGCCCTCCCCCTCCCCCTCCCCTTGCCCTCGTCACCCTCGCCCTCGCCTTCGCGAGACTCCTCTCGCGCCGAGACGGCAGGTCCCGCTCCGCCGCTGCCACCGCCCCGACGACGACTGCCTGCGCTTTCCGTCACGAAAGAATTCGACAACAGCGCACGACCTGCCATGGAATGTGGGCTGCACTTTCGTGCTTGATGGATGGCCGGTCAGATGTTAAAGAATCTCGTATATTGTCTGACGTTGGATTAGTAACTTTCTAAATGTTGTACATATCATTTGCTTTTGTGACGTTGTTAAAGAATAACACAATTGCTTTTGATTTATATGTAGCAAATGAAGAAACTATAATTTTGGTATGATTTTGGATTCATGTGGCAGTTTTTGAATTCAATTTCAATTACAAAATTGGAATGATGGAATATGGGGTGTAAGTAACTTTGGGCAATGGACAGTTGAAGAGATATGTTCCAGTGACGCATGCAGATCAAATGATGCACGGTTGTTATATTCATTACATTAATGTCCTTTGGTCAGAGATGTGATGCCACCCTGGTTCAGCAATCGTAGGACAAAAAAATGGGTAAAGTACGTTTTGTGGAAATCCTTTAGACGACGGCCACATATTTGCGGGTGGGAATGTTGAAATGCTATGAACAATACGGGCAATTGTTTAAGAGGAACCTCCAGTGTGTTACTGCTTAATCATGGAAATGAGAACGCTCCTCTTGGGAGATTTTCCGTTATGTTAACGGTAACGTGATTCTCCATTACGCGGGGTTTCATTCAGCCCTGTTGCTTTCATCGGCTCATTCTGCTTGTCGCTTCTGATGCGATGGCAGAAAAGCGCCACGTTGGACCGAATCCGGGTGGTTTTGCGAAATGTTGATTAATAAATTGGAGATCACGTTTTCGTTTTGGAATACAGCCTATTTTTCTGACTCTGCGTCCATTAGTGCGATTGATGAAAATTAACTGAAAACTACTTTCGTGTAAATAACCCTTTATTCGTAAATTATGTTCTATCACCGATCCTTTCGAAGACCAAATGTTTGGATTGAACGAAGTCGCAAGATGTAACCACCAAAATCACTCCATTCCCTAATATCACTATACTCGAAAGAATGACGATGTATTAGAAAATAACATTTTCCATTTGCAATTGCATTTGCATGGAACGCCCTGAATTACTTTTATTTCCAAGTCGTTCATTACTCGGCTACGAATTTTGCTCGTAGTGAAGAGTTTATTGCGTGTGCACTATCGGGAGTGTAATGGGGTGAATTAGAGTGCAGTAAACGCTGCCATGTGCGTGCGCGGGGAGTGGTGGAGCCGGTGGCCGCGGGATGGGTGGCCATCGGCGCCGGGGCAGAGGGCGTTGTCGTCGTCGTCGTGAGAGAGAGCCGGCTCGCGTGGCGTCGCAGCTGGCGTCCGGCGGGGCTGGCGGCGCGGGTGGCGAGGGCGCCGGCTAGTCGCGACCGCGGCGCGGCGCGGCGCTGCGTCAGCGCGGGCGGTTCTGGCGAGGGTTGCGGGTAGGGCCGGGGGTGCGGGCGGTGGGGCGGCGGCGGGCGTCTGGAGCTTCCGGCGCCCGCGGGCGGCCGAGAGGGAGGACGCGGCGGGCGGGCGCGCCGGCCTTACGTAACGCGCGCGTGGGCTGTGGCGCGGCGGCGAGCCTACGTCGCGTGGGCCGCGGCCGTCGCGCCCCGCCGTCGCCATCGCCGCGCGCCGCGCCGCGCCGCGGCCGAGGCGAGTGGGCGGGTGGGGGCCGGTCGAGCCGTCCTCGTCCCCGTCTCCGTCCTCGTCGCGCGCGCGCGCCGCCGGTGGAGCTCTTGCGATTGAACGATTACGCCAACACCGCACCGAGCGCAGGACGCCTCGCGGATGCCACTGTGCCGGCTGGAAACGCTTCGCATTCTGCGATAAGGAAGCCGTGCACAAATAACACCTCGTAGGTTTGGTCGACAGTTGTTTGGGCGTGATTGTATGACGGCTATGGCGAAAAAGTTTTCGTGTAGTGCATTGTTTTTCAGAGTAAGTGTGCGAGCGGCATTGAGAGTAACTACTGAATGGTGATCGTTGTGATGACGATGTAATGGGAGTCGGCAATAATGAACTAAAAGTATAGCTTGAAACCTAATGTAGTAGAGGTGTTATTCATTATCGTTGCCCCAGATAACATGAATTAATGTCTATGATATTATGTTTCTTTTGAAATAAGTATTCATATAACCCCCTCCGTTGCTGATGTGAGTTCATGTCAGCTTTCAAAGAACAATGCTTATATATAATCGTCTAATGTGAACATAAATCGCTGTCCGGAAAAATATTAATTCTACAAATTGCATAATGCGGAATCTTCTCTAATACGAAATACTAAAAAATATTTGTCCCTTGTGATTCCGCATTGATCAACATTTACTATATATATATATATATATATATATATATATATATATATATATATATATATATATTATATATATATATATAATATAATATATATATATATATATATATATATAATTTACAATGTTCACTTTCAAACTCTTGCTTTCTGTTTCATTATCTCGAGCAGGTGTGCTATGAATTACAGCGCGAAACTTAATTATTGATTTCTAAAGTTTGCGCAGCCAGAAACAGCTCCAATGTTTAATCGAAGTGTTTGTTTTGTGTACATAGAGCATGTGAGCAGAAAGTGAGCTTCTAAGAAAAAATGTATGCCCTTTTGAGCTCTAAGAATACACTGTATGCGTACACAGAACCCAAAATACTACTTATGTAAGCAATTCTCCTAAACTACATGCCTTCATTGCAGGGACATGATGTACAAAATGTTGGAAAGATATGAGCTAAATCGTATGTAACAGGTTGTTTTTAGTAAGATTGAATAAAAAATGTAAGTTATAATTTTTTAAACTTTGTTATCTGTAAATGCGATTAATATAGGTTTTAATAAATTTGCATTTCTATGTTACGGAAATGTTGATATTAACTATAACCCTTCTCTCAAAACTGTATCATAATTACTACCAACGAAAGTTACATTTCGTAGAATTAAAAATTACAACTCTATTTCTGTACTTACTTCATAAATCATATTTGTAGTGCATTTTACTCGATCATTTTATTAAGCTAATGTAACGTGTAAGGTTACGACAATATGTGCGTTGTATCGGAGACGTTTCGTACCACATCAGAAACCTATCTTTCGCATCTAAGCAGTTAAGTGTTAACTGCGGTCGTGCTTTTGTTGTTTTAATTATTTTCATGTCACTGATCTGTTCAGATATGTGAAGCCGAATTCTTGTTGTGAAACTCCCTTTTGAGAGGTATGATGTTTCTTATAAGGACCGACGATGTCTTACTGGTACATCTGACCAAAGTTTGTTTTTGTTCTTTTTTAATTGCCGTCGCACCACCATTCATTGAATTGGTTGGGTCACAAAAATAAGTTATACGACGCCACAAAGCCATTAAAGCGCAAATGAAGGCCAATTTCCGTGACTGGGCCGAATGGGACGATCTAACCAATAACGAAGCACTATGACGCGGAGGGTTGTATCCGGCCGAACATTGACTGCTGGTTTCCTCGCCTTCGCAGACATCCCTCCTCCCCGTCTCTAATCGGGTCACCACCACCCCCGTCTCTCTACCACTGCTTTTTTGTGGACCGCGCCCCCTCTGTCGTCTGCCTCACATCATCTCCGAGATTACGATCGTCTCACACAGTACGTTGTGCATTGTTAAAAATAACTTAGCGAGCCCATCCTCTCTAGTGCTTTTGGATTATCCTTCACTTCACTCTATATCGTCGTCTTTTAACTCGTTTTTTCCACTGATGTCGCAACAACCTTGGCCTGCAACGGTACTAACATTAAAAATTACACACGACCATCCCCTCTACAAACCTCAGAAATACTCCTGTGGCCAATTCCTCCCCCCACTATCACCTCTACCTTCATCACCATCAACAATAATAACAACCAAAGCCACCACCAAGAACCAATACAAGTATTTTTTAAAGTTCTTCGGAAATCCTCATCAACGGAAACATGTAGTGAACTTTATCGCCATTAGACTACCACTATCGACTCCATCGACCGGCTCATCTTGAGGAAACTACGACAATGAGAACCGCCGCTGCGACTAAGCGGCACTCATCTCTCCCTTTCTCCTCGAATCCTTCCGCCCTCTT